ACGATCTGGCGATGGTCTTGATGCTGCGAGGCAGGGAGACGGTCTCATGGGGTGAGCGACGGCAGGATAATGATTTCGATCATGAAGCTAAGGTCTCCCGCCCGGGTGTCAATCATGTCGAGATCAGCACCGTGGGCTCTACGAGTGCACAGGGAGTGCCTCGTCTCAAGGTTCCAAAAAGGCATGCCGCTCATACGAAGCATGCACGGTCGGCGCAGGCTAGGGCCCTTTGAAGTGCTAAAGGGTAGATAGAAGAATGCTTCAGCTGACGGAAGATGGTGCCAGGAGTCCCACTCATCCAAACTCCCCGAGCCGCCCCGACCCCAGACTTCGTGAAATGCTTCGGCCATGGCTTCTGTGCGGATTGGCCTCCATCTGGACGACGGCTACGGGGGAGATCCTGGGTTCCAGTTAGAGCTCTTAGGGACTGTTGAAGTAAGTTTTGACCACAAGAGGAAGATGCAGAAAATGATGCGCTTTCCTTGCGATGCCAAGTTGAAACTAACTTCCGCAACAAGAACTCAGGATAGACATTGATGAGTTCAAGTCCTTTGAAAAGCCAGATCTTCCAGCCTTTCTGGACTATGACTGTGATTTGGTCGGCACGAAGCCCGGGGCCGTGGTCGACTGGAATTCGGTGTACCAGCGAGTTGAGTCGAGCTTCTCGCGCCTGAGCCCGCTGAAGTCTAACTTTTCCTTCCCGGAAGAGTTTAAGTATCTGGTGGCGGACTCGGGCCCTCACAGGTCTGGTAACCCCTCAAGGAGGGCCCTTGAGGAGTGCCCGCTTGGCGCGATGTACCTGCGGCTTCTGTACCTTAACCTGCTAAAACCTACTTTTTTGTAGGGTCCCTATAAATTCCATATTAAGGTTTATAATAAGAACCTACAAAAACAAAAAAGTAGGGTTTGGTAGTTTAAGGTACTACTACCAGGGGCTCACGATCCACAATCTCTGGCACGAGGAGATCGAGGAGGAGATGTGCCATCTCCTAGCAGCTGCATGGTGTGTACCCGTAGGCCCCAAAGTAGGGTTTAGGGTTTAGGCCCAAAGTAGTTCCTTTTTGGGAATACCTTATAGGATTCTATATACGAACCCCCAAAAGGAACTACTTTGGGGCCTTAGGGTAGGGTTCAATTTGCGATCCACAGGTCAGGAGCCAAACCCACTTCTTTGTGTTGGATATCACCACGTTCATGGCTGCAGGTTTTTTTTGCAAGATAGTTCCTGTTGCCAGGGGGGGGCGGGGGGCGTCCCTGATCTCTGGTCCCCGATGCAAGTCCTGCCGGGGTGCCTCGTGACAGGTTGCGTTTCTTTTTTAGAAGAGAGAGAGTGCCACCCCCAACCGCGAAACAGCCATGTGGGTGGTTGTCAAATTATGGTCCCTTTTCGAGTACCCTAAAAATTCGGTGCCGCACTATAATTATTAGGGGACCCAAAAAGGGACCCTAATTTTGAAAACTACCCATGTGAGCATCAAGTTTCGATGATCGGGGGCCTGAGCCCGACAACCTCCAACCCCAGCAGGTTGAGTGAAACGGGTCTAGGGGTTCAGAGCTGCGCATTTGGCTGTTTAGGGTTTCCGAGTGCTCTTTTCGTCAGTACTGGTATGGGTTCAAAAAGGGGTTGCGAGTCTAGGCGTCTAGGGTTTTGCGTCTCGGGGTTTAGGGCTCAGCCAGGAGATTCAGCTTGTCCTGGCCACCTATCCCACCTATGCTTTAGCACTCACTCGCTGGCCCATTTTCCCCGTGCTCGCCCACTTCTCCCACGTCCACCACATTCCTTTGGAGGCGAGATGCCTAGAGCTTCAGTCTTTGGGCTCTGTTGGGGATCGGGCCACAGTTTGGCAGGGATGTTCGGACACGAGGCACTGAGAACAGAGGAACTGCGCATGACCGGCTTTGTAGAGGGTTTAGGGCATTTTCTCCCGGTTCTTTGCCGATAACTTCTCGTAACAGCGACGTACTTGTACTTGTGGTCGGGAGCGGCAGCAACAGTCGTGGTAGCAGTATGAGCAGCAGCCTTGGGAATCGTGCAGTACTGGTAGTGCAGGTAGCGATGATGGTCAGGTGTGGCACGAAACACCTCCCCGGCTGGTCAGGTGGTCCTGTGCGACAATGTGAAGGGTGTGGTGGACTGGGGCCAGTGTCGCAAAGACGGTGCCTGCTACTTCCGAACGGCATTGGCTTTGTGTTTTGGAGCCCTGCACCCTAAATCCCTGCCTCGTTGTTTATATTCATTGCTTTCGACTGTTATTCTGTAGTTAGTGTTGCTTGTATTTGAAACTGCACTGGCTGGTGAGATAGCGGTAGTAGTGGTAGTAAGCTGAGACAGAGAAGCAGTGCCTGCGAGAGCGAGTGTGCGATTCGAAATCCCTGCCCCTGCAGAGTCCGAATGCGAGCTCAAGCCCAGGTATGCGTTGGATCGACCTGGTGTACACTGACGAGGAGTCCAAGCTCCCGGGCCACGACGAGACGATGGTCGAGTTGCAGGTCGTCGTCTCTCAGTACCTTTACACCATCCTCCGCTGGAAAGAAAACCAACTCAAGGCCTCGGAGGAGTGTCCGTTTGGGTTCTTCTTCTTGGCAGCCACGCAGCTCGTGGCTGCGGCGGGCAAGAGCACGCAGCACTTGCCGCCTTTTGGGAAGATCATGGACCAGGTGGGGCATTCGCAACTGGGAGTTTTTTTCAGCCCACTTTAAGGAAGATGCCCCTGAGGTGGTGGGTGCGCTACAATTCGGCAAGGTGAGCAGCTCCCCGTGGCCAGTTTGGCACGTACTGGCAATTTTCGCAGATTTCAACAAGGCAAATTGGTACTGGGGCGGTGATCGGAAATACCTTCGTGGATACAGTGACTGGAACCTCCGAAGTGACGAGCTCTCCCCACTGCTGTCTCCCCGCAATGCCTTTCTGTCAGCCGGCTGGAAGGCAGAGGCCGTCGAGAAGGTCGATTCACTAGTACATCTGGGTCACACCAAATTCGTGGAAGCTCTGAGCGCACGGAGTCGGATTCATGAAGATGGCTGGGGACCAATGAGGCCGATTGTCAGGAGCTTGGTTGATGCAGCGCAGGCTGTGGCGGCGCTGTCGGAAAGACAAGGACTCAAGCGGCGGCTTGCATACGTGGTGCTGCTGTACGGTGGGAACTGGGCATACCTTTTGGAACGGCTTGCACGCCATCTCTTTCACCTGAAAGTCCTGCACCCTCTGCTGGTGATTGCCATAGGTGAAGATGCGGCGAACACCTGTCGCGAGCTCATGTCAGGAGAAAGCATGCACAGCACCCACGTGATCTGCTGGATGCCAGACACGATGTCGCAGGTCCATCGCTTCACTTGCATCCATGGGCTGCTGCATCTCGGAATCGACGTACTTTACACAGACATGGACACGTTTTGGCTCCGCGATCCCACCAGTCGTATCCTGGCTTCCGCTGAAGGCTGGGATGCGCTTTTTGCCCGGCACGGGGATGCGGACTGCGTGAACATAGGTGTATTCTATCTCCGGGCCTCAGGCCGAACTGCATTGTGGATGTCGCAGTTCATTGCATGGTACCATGATCCTGGGTTCTTAAAGGATTTAATTCAAGTTACCATACTAGGGTTCTACAGTGAATTATAAGGTTTCCGTATTATGGCAACTTAACTAGGTTGGATTTTGGGACATTTTTTATTTTCCTTATCTGGGTTTATGAGGGGCCCTATATATATATATATAATAGTCCCTTGACAAGAGCCCAGGATCACCCATTCGAGATCGACCAGCGCGGGCTGCACGTCTTCTTGGGTCTTCCGACTCAGCGAATGAAGGTGGGGGTTGATCCGAATTATGGGCCCTTTTGGGGTCTGTAGTGTAGTATATTTTCCTTATAGCCCAGGGGACGAGTAGTATAGTATATTCCTTATAGTCTAAGGGACCACTAGTCTATTCCTGAAAGTCTAGGGGACCACAAAGGGGCCCATAATTTTGATCAACTCCTAGGTCGCCTTCTTGCCGGAGGACCTAGTGCAGATCCGGGGTTCGGTCTTGGAAGATCGGAATGAGGTGGTCATTGGGGATATCGGCTGGGCCGGCTTGCTGCCCAGGATGCTGATCTTTCACTGGTGCCACCGGCCTATCGAGCTAAAGGAGAAGGAGATCAATATCGCCTACGATGCCCACGAGGCTCTCCTGGATCACAACCTCCCTGTGTCCCTAGCCGTTTCTGTAATGGCGGGGGCGATGCCCCGCACTCCTTGGGCCTATGCCTTCAAGTTCCGAGTGGTCTTGGACCAGTACATAAAGAAACTCTCAGACGAGCGTGAGGCGTGCTGGTAGGAAGCACTTCTTGCCAAGTTCCCTGAGCTTCCTGCAGATCGTCGACCCGTTGGTCGGGATATGGAGATTTCCGAGGTGTTGGCCATTGGCACTGCCTTTGCGCAGATGCCTCCTGAAGTCAGTGCCAGACCTCGCACCATCGCGCCGCGCAACCACTGGAGGCGTCGAGAACGCGATCTAGGGAGGGCCGAGCATCAGGAAGAGATTGACGTTGCAACGGTGAGCTGCAAAGCACAGCAGATTAGTAAGCTCTCCCAGTACGCCCTAAACCCAAAACCCCTTAGACAAACAGCTTTGGAGCCTTGTCGTGCCTTCCCAAGAAAAGCTGCAGACCATGGCAACTGCAGGATGCTGGGAGAAGGTTCTAAGGCGATCCGGGACAGGAAGTTCTTATCGCTGCCCCATCTGGAAGGCCCTGGAAGTTTAAGATGCAAATTTCAGCAACACACCACCCCCCTTTTCGGGGAAGGTCCTCCCGGGATGCTCACGCATTGCACGAAATTCTTAGTTGGGACATCCATCGAATTTCGAGGCTCAAGGTCTTGGTAGAAATACTGCCGCCAGATTTCTTGCAAATCCAGCCGAAGTCTCAGGAGGGCAGTCGTTAGACTTGGGCCGCGGATTGTGCTTGGGAAGAACGCAGCGAGAAGCCAAGGTCCATTCACATTTGGCCCTTGTGCAACACATGCGGCCCGTCCCTCAAAGTTTGCACCCTGCATGTTGGTCATTCGTGAGGCTGAGGCTGCAGCGGAGTAATTCCAGAAGTCAGATGCCGCAAACCGGGGTTGTCATCCTGGGCCATTAACACGAAACCTTGAGTGCCAGAGTTGGGTTCCGTCTCAATGGACGCTGGCTGAGCTCCCACAAGCCCTGGACGCAAGATCCCAAAGAACAGCAAATGGGGCGAGGCCGAGTCTACGCCTTTCTCCCTTCGAAGCAGCAACGTTTGCTTCGGTGATGATGGCGATGGTGGTGATGATGCAGGTGGTGGTGATTCGGTGATGATAATAGTTGCGCAGGCCTGGATGCGAAAGGCATTGTTGCGACTTCATGTGTGGAGCGGAAAAGCTCGCGGAATGCAGGCCCCGGGCTCTCTTGCTGCTGCTTCCCAGTGCAGTCGTGCGAACCCCGGTTCGGTGTGGCTCTTCTCCAGGGTTTGTGGCTTCTGTTTCGAGGAGCAGGCCACTATCTAGAGAACATACAGTAGTGCTCGCTTTCTTTCTTTGTTTCTTTCCTTCTTTCTTTCTCTCTCTCTCTCTCTCTCTGTCTCTTTCTGTGTCTCTCTCTCTCTCTCTCTCCTTCTCTCGCTCTCTTCAGCATCTCTGCTCGGCATGCGGCGCCCCAGCTGGTGTTCGGTTCAGAGATTCAAATCCGGCAAAGTGATGCTGCTTTTGGTCTCTTTGTGGGGTTCACAGGAGTTGCAAGCAAGGGCATCCATCCCCAATCAATCCCAGGCCAGCGCAATCCACAGCGAGGTCTCCCACGATGGGCACATAAGCCACCGCAAGGCCTGACATGCCTGACCCAAAGTCTTGAAAGGTAGGAGCTTGCACGGATTCGTCGGACGCGCGACGGGCCGGGGTGATTCGGGTTTGGGCTTTTGTGATTTGGGTGCTCTCCGGTGATGGAGAGCATGCAAAGTTTTGCAAAGCCAGCTTCGGTAGCGCAGATGAAACCGCCAGGAGGAGAAGAGCTCCGATGTGGGCAGCTCCGTGAGTTCGGAGCAGCAGGCAAGTCGGGGAGCTCACATGCGTGGACGTGCCGTGCCCTTTTGGTGCCGGTGAGCTTCTACAAATGCCCCCTGCGACCGGAGACCCTGTAATGTGCAGCTTTATGAAAGAGAAAACGCATTCTGCAGCTAGATGTTAGTGGTAATTGAGCCCGACGACGGTTCACAATAACTGGATCTCCTCCCAGCACAGGGGCCCTTCAGCTCCCAGTGGGAGAGCGAACTACAGCTTTAGACTTATCACATTCGTCTGACGAATACTGCAGTGCCACACGTAACATTCATGCCAAAGATTTTGATTCCGCTCGAAAGATGTGCGACAGGCATCACCGTATCACTAGTACTTCAAGGCTCCGTGAAAACTAGTGACTCTATTTTGTCTGCTTAGTAGTCTTAGTTGTGCTCGGAGTCGGCAGTCTTAGTCGGACGTGGTTGCAGTCGTAGCCGCAGTGGCACTCGTAGCAGCAGTAATCGTGTTAGTCGTAGTGGCCATAGTAGCTGCTTTAGCCACAGTAGCCGCAGTAGTCGTAGTAGTCGCAGTTTTCGTATGTAGTCGTACGTTGTCGTAGTAGCTGTAGTAGTCCCAGAAGTCGTAGTAGTCCCGGTAGTCCTAGGAGTCATCGTCGTCGTAGTAGTACTGTAGTAGTAGCCGCAGCAGCAACAGTTGTGGTGGCTGCAGAAGCAGTCCTAGTACTCCTTAGAAGTCGTAGTAGTCATATGTAGCCGTATGTAGTCGTACGTAGTCGTAGCAGTCGTAGCAGTCGTAGAAGCCGTAGTTGTCCCAGTTGTCGTAGCAGCCCCGGTAGTCCCAGGAGTCGTCGTCGTAGTAGTACCAGCAGCAGCCGTCGTTGTAGTCGTAGTAGTGGTCCTCGGCGTCGTAGTCGCAGCAACAATAGAAGAAGAAGCAGAAGTCGTAATAGCAGTCGTACTTGAATTCGTAGTATGAGTCGTATTAAATAGAAGTCCTAGTCGCAGTTGTAGTTCTCGTGGTAGTCGTAGAAGTAGTCGCAGCGTGGCAGTGGTAGGTACATGGATAGATAGATAGATCGAGATCGAGAGAGGGAGAGAGATAGGCATGCAGGCGGGTAGGTAGGTAGATGGATAGATAGAGATGATGGATAGATAGATAGATCAGATAGGCAAACAGATAATTGCAGCAGCAGCGGGCAGGGGGGGGAGGAGGCAGCAGGAGGAGGAGCAGTAGTTATCAGTACTTCGAGTATATTTAGGCAAGGAACATCTAGGAACTGAAGACTTCTCATGCATGTGGTGAAGCCCGACAGGACGGCCAATATCCGACCTTCGGCAGCAGCAGCTTTGGCAGCGGCGGCTTCGGCAACAGCTCCTTGTCTGTTCATTTGTCGCCATTAGTGCCCGATTGCAAGGAGAAGTTAGACAGGAGGGCGTGTCGGGCAGCGGCAGCAAGGAGAGCACTTGGCTTTGGCATGTCGGTTCAGAGAGACTCCAAGCTCTTTGAAGTGTTTGCACCTAGTCGACCGTGGTCAGGCTACGGCATGAACGGCATGGGTGGAGGCATGGGCGGCGGAATGGGCGGTGGAATGGGCGGCGGAATGGGCGGCGGCTCCTACGGCAACAGCCGCTGGCCCAAAATGGTTTTTTGGTGGCTGCCACTTATTGAAGTGCTGGCCTTTGGACGTGTCCAGGTGTACACGGGGCAGGGTTCGAAGGACGAGCTTTCAGATAGACATGACAGTTTGCAAGAAGTTGGACAGGCTTCCTGTTCTAGCATTGGCCGTTGCACGCCCTGTTTAATGCACCTGAAGGCAACCATGTCCATGCCCGGGAAGCAAGAATCCCGACTTCCGAAAGCAAGAGCAAACCACTCTCCAAAGTACCCGAAGAGCAGAAACTCGGTATCAATCCCTGCCCAGCACTCCCAACCGATCTCTTTGGGTTTTCTAGGGGCCTGAACAAGAAGTACGATTTAGCAACATGATTCCCTGAACGTTCTTACAACAGCTCACTTTTATACTACAACATGTAACAAACTCTGCTCTAATCATAGAGGCCACAGTACATCCGGAAGGTTGCTTGAATAGGTTGTAGATATTTGCGAAAGAGACACCTCAGTGAATATGACTTCAGCCTCTCACAATGCATAGGAAACGTGCGCTTTTTTGTGTATGTAGTTGCTGTAGTATTTTTGCGATATGTCGTGGAATATTACAGTACGTTGTAGCACAATTGCTTTCGCTCTCTTGGGGATGTTGTTCCGAGTTGGAATAGGGCTTTGGGGGTCTATTATCGTATAGTTATATTAGGAATAAGACTTTCAGTACATGTCGTATGTTTTTGTATATTGGCACCCAATCTCTCGGTTCAGAGGCTTCGGCTCCTACGGCGCTCCAGGGCAACAGGGCTACGGCCAGCCAATGGTCCGCTCTGGAAATCCGATGACGCTTGGGCTTGTGACTGCGAAGACGGAGGGTTCAGGATTTCAGGGTTTCAAGTTTTAGGCTTTGGGGTCGAGGGTTTGCTGCGCCTTTCCAGCCAGAGCTTCACAGCCCGGCTGCAAAAAGGCTTTGGGGTCCAGTCTTCCTGTGCTATATCGTGTTGAAGCATGTCCTAGCAGAGCGTATTCGTTTACACTGGTAATGTGATGTTATGCACAGGCGACAAGTTGAGACATGAGGTATCACACGGTTGCATGTTGTGCATTTTTGTACTGTACCCGCGCAGGTGTGTACAAACGCCTTTGAGACACAGCGCACTGCGCTCTGCAGCACAGCTTGTTGTCCATTACACCAACTAGTAAGCGATGTGCTGTTGCATGTTGTGCATTTTTGTACTGTACCCGCGCAGGTGTGTACAAACGCCTTTGAGACACAGCGCACTGCGCTCTGCAGCACAGCTTGTTGTCCATTACACCAACTAGTAAGCGATGTGCTGTTGCATGTTGTGCATTTTTGTACTGTACCCGCGCAGGTGTGTACAAACGCCTTTGAGACACAGCGCACTGCGCTCTGCAGCACAGCTTGTTGTCCATTACACCAACTAGTAAGCGATGTGCTGTTGCATGTTGTGCATTTTTGTACTGTACCCGCGCAGGTGTGTACAAACGCCTTTGAGACACAGCGCACTGCGCTCTGCAGCACAGCTTGTTGTCCATTACACCAACTAGTAAGCGATGTGCTGCAATGCGAGCGCTTCCTGCATCAATCGAAGGCGTCGCTTAGCGCAACATGACCTTGGAAGTAATTCGGCACAGGGTGAACTTCATTTGTAGAATCTCTCGGAGGATGGCCCGCTCTGGACAGTCCGGCAGCGGTTACGCCCCGACAGAGACTGAGATGCACATGCGCCTTGGCAGGTTTCCTTTAGGAGGATACAAAGTAAGCTATAATACAAGAAACGATAACAAACTACAGTACACAATACTAAACTCAAATATGAACTATAAAGTACAAGTTTATGAGCTTCAAATCGCCCGCTTCGGTCACTTGAGGCCCCTGGGTGCGAATGTGGAGCTCCACTCTGACGACGGCGTGCTGTACTCATCGCGAAGACGCGCGGAGAAGAAGCCAGAGGCCGCAGGGCCGGGCCTGGGTTCTGTTTCGCTTATGTTGAGGGCTTGTGGTTGTCCGTTTGCATTTCCGTTGTCTGTCCGGCCGCGGGCAAGCCAAATCAGCCAACTGTTGCTTGACCTCCCTCTAACCATCGTTCGGACACCACGAAGGCCTGGGTTGCATCCACCCTAAACCCGAAGCGTGAGCGCAGTCCAAGCCAAAGCAGGACTACAACTACGACGACAACACGGTTCTGGGCATGGCGAACTACATCTACAAGGGCGATGCTAGTCTGGCAGCTCTGAGCTACCTGGCGGCTTCTCCGACCACTCCTAGTCCAGTGCCTCATGACCCACTCCCCCACTGGTCCCAAATCCTACACCTAGATGCCGAAAGACTGCATGATCTACGCCCTAAGCCTGTAGTGTTTCATAAACACTACTGCCCTAAAACCTAAACCCGAAAACCCCTCGGCTTTTTTGGAGTGTCCTCGGAAGTCGCGTCTCTGAGAGACCCAGGCTGGCCTCTCGCCGCTGCCTCGGATTCCTCGACTGTTCAAAGATGCCAAGGGGCCTTCGTAAAGCAGGAGCTTATGGGGCTAAGCTCCTCCTGATTCCGTGACAAGGTTGTAGACAGCTCATGCAGTCATGGGGGTGAGTCGACCTCGGACTTATCGAAATTTTGGAGAAAGCATTGGGGAAGTACCAATCTGAGTCTTGTCCCATCAAGTCGTTCAAGGTGTTGGAGCTCTTTGCCAAAGTCCTCTAATGGATTTCAGCATACGGCCTCTTGCGGTGGGGTTCTAATGGGTTCTAAGCCAGTCTGCGGTGCGAGGCTCATCAGTCTATCACACAGATTGTTGGGGAGGACATTGAGCTCCAGTGAAGGGCTTCCACCCTGGATCGCCATCTGGCCATGCATTGCGTCACAAGAGGACTGGAATCCTGTGTTGCTTCCTAGACGCATTGTATGTAGAGTCTGTCAACAGCCGATGCATGCTGGACTTGCTTAAGGCAGGGGTCGTAGGTCTTTTAGAGGCGACCACGGTCGCAGAATCGCCGAAAATCTGGATGCAACCCCGAAAGGTGCCGAGCCTTCCCGTACACATATGTATGTATGGATGAGCTGCAGATACGTCTGTCTATATCTATGTCAGTCTCTTATTTTGCATATACGTCAGAGACACGCAACCACACCCACACACACACCATACGTTTATTACGCTATATTGGTGCCCGGTGCTTTAAACCCTTGCCAAGGCCCTGGTGCTTGCAAGATTTCTGGCTGCCTGATGAAGCGGAGGCTCAGGGTCTTCGGGCTTCGGGTTCCAGTGGTGGGTTTCTACGTTATAATAATGTGTTCGTGGACAAGACACCTCTTCGTGCATGATGGGGTGCCCTGTTCGCAACGTGCAGGATCTGTGGCGGGAATACAGGTAGGTGAATGCACAGGTTCCGAACATCCACGCCCATCCTCATTCCTGTACATCCATCGTGCGATCGAGAGAGGTGCTCCCATGCAAGTAAGCATGCTCCTCACCCTCTGTCTCTGTCAGTCGAGTTGTCTCTCGTGACATATTTCGGGCACACACATACTTGCTCGGCCTGGATCCAATCGAGGTTTATGCAAATGACTCAGAGGAATACCTACAATCAGACATTGCTTGTGCCTTCTCGCACTCTCTCTCTCTCTCTCTCTCTCTCTCTCTCTCTCTCTCTTTCTAAACTGCACCAACTCATTCGCTTTTGTACATAAATAGAGACATAGATGCGTAGTTACGTAAATACATACATACATACATATTGTACAGACACCTTCTGTTGGCAAACTCGCCCATCAGAGGTTCCTACAAACAGCTGGGGTAGTATGGCTGAATATGTCTTAATGCCATTCCCTCGGGTTCATTGTATGCTGCAATGTGCCACTTGAGCCTTCTTCACTATATTTGGAGTTCAGGCTCTGTTGCACAGCGAGTGTCCGTCTCACAGCTGTGGTCATTGAGATCAAACGTACAACAAGAAAAACAACACGGCGCAACAGCTGCTGCTGCTCCTCCTACTATTCCCTCTGCAGCTGCTGCGATGACGACGGCAACAACAACTACTCCCATCGCTACGACGCCTACAACGACGATGACTGCTAGTGCTGCTGCTGCTGCTGCTGCTGCTGCAGGTGGCACTAAAAACATATCAGGTGGTTCTTGCATTGGTTTGCTTGCTGAGTATGTTGGTTTATTCTTATCCACATCTTAGTCCCACTATCGTGGCTCTATGTGTTTCACTATCGTGCATGGTTTCATGAAAGCCGCGTATCATGAATGCGGTCTGCCGTTTCTTTCCGGCACGGTCAACCTCACCGTCCATGCCAGATTTCATGTCTTCCGGTTGGGAGGAGTCGAAAGTATGCGGGTGTGGGAGTTGGGATATCCAGTTGTGACGTTGTAGCAGGCCCGCCGTCTTCTGAGAGTTGGAGTTTCACATCTTTCCGGATCAAGTCATGGAGAAAGCCGCGGCGCCGAAACAAGATGCCGGCAAATGACGAGATTCACGGCTTCCTGTGATATCGCTCCAGATCTGTAAGCCTTGCCTCCCCAACCCCTTCCGAGATTCCCTCCATAGCCAGAAGGCTCGAGCTTCAGATGCCATGGCTACATGAGCTGCCTCTTTGGGCTTCGCTTCTTTCACTCCTGAGCCTCTTCCCGGCTCTTCTTTTCTGGCTCTTTCGTCGGCCCGCTAAAACTTTGGGGACGACGTCGAAGCCCATGGCTCTGCCGGAGGGGAAGGTGCGCTTCAAACCCGGCAAGGCGCCCAGGGCTCAAAGCAAAAGCAGGGTCGCTTCAGAGCTTTTCCCTTCTGCATGTGCGGATCTTTCTGCGCTTCTTGGTGATTCTCAAGCACGCAGTCTTTGCGTCGCCGGCATGACTGATCACGGTATGGTAGCTGTCAAGAGCGGGTAGGGATTTGCTCCAGCTCTTGATAGCTTCCTTGTTCCCACTTGCTACGCCACGAGCTCAAATTCAAGCATCATGTCACTGCACAGCAGAAGCCACCGAAAGGAGGTTCTTAAGCCGTGGACTCGTTGTTGTTATATGCTTTTCTCAAGCCCGCCGAGAAATGTCGTACAGGTGTAAAGGCTTGGACACGACAGCAACCCGCCATTGCTTCATTGGGATTTATAATTTGATGAGCCAATGAGCCAGCTACCCTTTGCCACATGACGTAAAGCTGAAGATCCTGGATCCCCGGCTGATACTCGGGACATGACACTATGCCCAACGCACGAAACGAGAAATTTGATCCCGACTCGCCAGTTCCCATTCAGAACCGGCCGCTCGCTAGACTGCCTGTCCGAGCTCCGAGGCTCGACATACAAGCAAAAGCAGTCTCTACCCTGCACTACTGTATAATTTACTATATTGTAAAACAAGTATGCGATAACATACTATACCCCTGCAGTACCAGCCTGCCTCCTTGTGGCAGGAGTGGAAAGAGGTGTTGCCCGAGCACCTTCTTCCGGGAGGCCTAGATGTCCGCTTCGACCTCGACGGCGGTCGGAACTTTGCCAGGCGGCTGGTGCCCTTTTCCGAGGATTACGGATAGCGGTTGAGGGTTTAGGGTTCCCTGAAGCCACCATGGTCTGAAACAGGAACCGCAAGCACTTAGGTTCCCAATCTCTCTTTATGTCGGGGAGCAACGTCAGAATGAAGGAGTCAACTTGCCTTGCAAATGCGTGCAGGAGCTGACCCACAGTCACCATCGCCTGCCAAAGGTAATTAAATAGGAATCATCAGCTTACTAGGACGAACGGAAGTCACGCCTGCGTGACTCCCCTTCCGTTGTCGTGGCATTTGGTCCTATGGGGTCGTACAGGTTCTACTGCCGACATCCCCAACAGCTCTGCAAGCGTTACCCCGAGCACTGTTTCCAGAGCTGAGTATGCCCCTCTGCCTGAAACGCTATTCCGAAGGCTCCTAATGTTGCAGGCTCCAACCTGGGCAGTTTGACCGGCCGCCCACCGACTCGGCAGACGAGACAAGTGTAGAGAGCCTGGGCATCGCCAAAGCTAGCATGAGCTAGCTAGCATGTATGGGGTATGAGTCAGGGAGCTGCAGAAAGGATCTCTTTAAGCAGCAGACGGGCAATGTGACATCGAATTGGTGACGAACAAGGTGATGACATGCGATGATCGTGAGGATGCCGGGAGCGGATCACGGCCACTCCAATGTGAGTTGTCATAAAGCTGATTTGACAACCCCGCCACCAACCGCACCGCAACTATCACATATCATCACCACCTCGTACCCGTCTTCACGGATGTCTTCAGGATCCTACAACAACCCAAGATCAGGATCCAGGGATCAAGATTTCGTTTTCGTGGTTTAGTCATAAATGGAGGTGTTGGGGCTGACATTTAAGTGCCAGGCACCCGGTTGGGGCTTTGGGAGCCCGGATCCCCAACCAGGCTGCAACAAGGAAGAACATCTTGGCGCGGAGGGTGATGCGTTTTCGCTTTGCCAGAGGATTCCAGGCTGATTGGCGCGGCGCATGTTGAGAATGCATTCTGCCAGTACAGTTTTAATTTTAAAGTTCCAATGTTGATGAGCGAACCATCCGGAGTACTGCTACTGCCGCCGTTCCGACCAGACCATCGCTAAGATCATCATCTTGAAAAGGAGTAGGGTTTAGGGTTTATTATGATCAGGATTTCTATGACTAAAAACTTCTAATATCTATCCTAGAATATCATTAACTAGTATTACTATGATAAGGATTACTACTTGTACTCTCTCTTCCCGGCCGAGGAAGCTGCTGAGCGACGCGGCGACCTGGGGGCGACAGGATCGGCTCGAAAAGGCCTCGCTTCCTCGGGAAACTTCGGGGCTTAGGGGTCCTTTAAAGGGGTCTATGGTGGCTACTATAAGGGCCATTATAAGTCCTTTAAAGGGGTCTATGGCGGCTACTATAAGGGCCATGATAAGTATAGTATAATGGGCCCCAAAACCCTATTCTGTCAAATAAGGCCCCTACGTTTTGCTCCCGAACCGTCGGGGCTTTGTAGGAGCTCTAGGCGGTTTACAGCTGAGTGTGCAACTGAGCTACTCGATATTGTGCAACAGGTCGTGCGTAAAAACATGTGAGGCGCGCTGCTTACGTCCATTATCTGATGTATAATCTTGTCGCGATATATCATATACTGTACTGGCTGAGAGCTTGGGGTGGAGAGAAGAGTCATCCTTGGAGGGTTTTGAGCGTAGCTGAGACAAGGGTTTCGGGTGGATTTCAGGCGTTCCGGGGCCTGGGACCTAGTAGCTTGTAAAGGGGCCTATGACGGCTACTATAAGGGACATTACAAGTATAGTATAATGGGCTCCAAAACCCTATTCTGTCAAATAAGTGCGCAGTCTAGTCTTCCGGTTGCCCGAAACCAGCAAGACTGTCTTTATGTGCCTCGAGGTCCTCGACAGCTGCTACTACAGGCAACCTGCTCGCTTGGTTGTTAGTTCAGGGTTGCGGGTTTGCGTTTGGCTGCCGGGATTGGGACTGAGGAGGCACGTCTCAATAACGTTGTTTGCGAGTTTGGGGTTTCGTGCTGTAGAGTTCAATCAGGAGTGGTAGAGACACTCGAAAGCGGCAGGAGCTGTGATCGGTAATTACCGAGCTACTCACTCAGTGCTGGAACTCTGCGGCTACTGTGCCTGTACTGCATGGGAGCCACACCAAAACCCTACGCAGTCTGCTTCGATGTGCATGATATGTAAACTTCTGCGTCCCGCATCGCCGCCCCAGAAAAGTTAGGCAGCATTCAGGTGTGCAAAACGAGGCAACGCGCAGTTGTGGTTCTGTGCTTTGAGGTGTTTTATGGTTCAGGGGAATCTCGCCTTGATTTCAATTGGCTTGCATTCTACCATAGCCTCGGCATACAGCTGGGGCAGCCCGCGCTAGTCTTAGTAGCATGCTGTGCAAGACAGCACGGTTCGGCAGCCAGGTATGGATTGCTCAGAATCAGGTCTTCTCACCGTGGTCAGATTTACTCCGGCGTCCATGCCCATGCTTGATTGTGCAGCGCTTCAATGTACCCAAGGCTTTTATTGCAAGCTTCATGTCCAGATCCTACAGCGCATTGCTAGTCTCGGTTTGGTTTGGGCGAATGGCGGGCTCACACTTAAGCCACAATTCGTACCTTCCAGGCTGATAGCTTCGGACCTCCAGGAAAAATTCAAAAATGTTCCTAGGACCGGTAGGGGCGGAATCAATCTGAAACCTCAGCTCATTTGGAAGTCTTCAGGTTAAGACCACGACTTGCGAGAATCCACCTTCGAGGAACCTAAAGGCCTTACACTGCAAAGACTTCGTCTCCAACCGGTGGCAGGTTGGAAGTCCTGAATCGGCCTCTAGCTGAAGCGGCAGGACGGGGTCACGTCGACGTCTGCAAGGCGCCTCGACGAACTGTTGGTTCCTTTGTTTGGGCATTTAGAAGGGCTTGAGCAAAATCCGAGCCCCCTCACTCCCAAACCACTACCACAAAAACCCAACTTTACGACTCGTCGGGAGGGACCAATGACGATGGGCAGCACCCAGAACATACACACAGTGCAGCTCCGAATACCTCCAGCATCGGTCGTTCAGAGGCACTGCTGGCAGCGCGAGGGGATCCTTTGAGCAGGGGTGCAAAGGGCGTCACGCCCCTGCATCGCGACCCGGAAAGACAGAAAAGCTTTTGCCGGTCATAGGGCGGTTTCTACCGAAAAGCAACGTCAAAGGTGCCCTCAAAGGTCAAGGGGCGAAGCCCTTTCGGTTTCTGCCCGCTGTTTGCCTTCTTTCTTGTCGCTATAAACTTCGGCTTTCCCCACGGAATGCACAGAGGGCCTCGGAGCCTCAGGGCCGATGTTTGCACTGGACGAGCATCTTTGTCAGGGACCTAAGCCCTAAAACCCGAAAACCGTATAAACGCCTGTAGCCCGAGTTGTGCATGCCGAAGCTCCTATAATCCCAAAGGAACCACCATGGAGGGCCACGAAGAGCTGGCCACGCTGCTGCTCCAACGATGTCTGGACACCCCGGAAATTGCTGGGCCGTAACTCATGGTTCATGGATTGCACATGCCGTCAGCGGCTGAATGGGCTGTGAATATTACATGTCGTCTTGGGACAGGAATTCAAGGATTAAGTTCGGCAGTAAACCCTGATGCAGGAGCTTGAGTAATTACCAAAAAAGTCCTTGGCGCTTTATCCATACTTTACTTGGCCCCAAACCCTCTTCTAGTTACTGAGGCAACTTTATTCCAGTCTTAGACCTCTCACATGGTTTCGAAATCCCGGAGCCCTTCTCGGCTGTTTGGCTGTTGAGATCTCGTGTGCCCCTGCCCTGGGAGGAAATGGGGGTGATGAATGCCCTGACAACGGCAGACGACCTGGGCAGAAGCTGCACCTAGGCTTCTTGTGGAGAGGGCTTGGGATTTTTGCTCGCAGCATGCATTCCCCTACCGGGCTGAGTCCTTCATAGTCTTACAGTATCTTACGGTGCACGACCCAGGGTCTTAACCGTGTTAATCTGTGCTCAAACACTAAGTGAGGTTTGTGATGACGGCGTTGCCTCTGCTTGAACGCAGAGGCATTAGCTTCCATTCCCATTGAAGGATTTGCATGGCATGCCGTTGCGGCTCAACAGCAGGGTTTGGGGGTTGCCGACTGGGACACTCCTCTTCGAAGAAGGGACACTGGCGGCGACGAATACCCACCTGGACAGCGTTTTTGTGCCCTTCCGCATGGCTGCATCTTTCAAGGAAGACGAGGTGAACATGCCAGTGATGCGAGAGTCAGGAAGCGATGGTACTGATCCGGATGACGAGGCGCAGAGCACTGGTACTGACCTAGTGGAAGATGCGACCGCGCAAGCTGGAAGTACGCTGGAAGCAAAACTTCAGATGACAGCAGTGGCGCATCTCATCGCCCGGCAAGAGCTTACACGCCCTGAAGTCTTGCGGACGACACCCGCGAGGCGCGTGCTCTCGTGCTTCTGCCGCGTGCTTCGTGACGGAGCCTACTCGAGCGACCTTTACAAGTACAGCGCTTCCAGCACCGAGATTCCCCAATTTTGGTCGCATTCCTGGCATGGCCGCACCTCGAACAAGATCATGTTGCTTCTCACAGTGTTCAATGGATTCCCAGCCTCTGTTCTGGGAAGCCTGGCCGTGCTATTCTGCTTGCTTTGGTCCCGCGGTCGCGGAAAGGGACACGCCCTTGCTATGGCAGTGGGCCTTGTCGTGTCCGTCCTGGCCTGCCTTTTCTGGCGCCCGCAAAGGCGGGTGTTCCTGGACAAGATCTGCATACATCAGACAGATTCTGTTTTGAAGGCCGAGGGAGTCTTCAATGTCGCTGCCATGTTGAAGCACTCGACATCCATGATGGTCTGTTGGGACACCACCTACATACACAGGCCTGTGTTGCCGGGGCTTTCCGTTCCTGAGTGAGTTTTTAGTAGGTTTCCGACCCATCATATAGCTACGGTACATTCGGGATCCCGTAGGGTATAGCGCAGGCTCTGGTGCGTGTTGGAGATTGCGGCCTTCTTGAAAAGCCATGGTAGCAGCGCGAAGCTGCACATCAAGCCGCTGCTTTGGGGATTCACAGCAGTCTTCTCGTTCGTGGGTCTCACAACCTTCTTTGGATTGCTGTTAGTCTTCGAGGTGGACAGACCGACCCAGCAACCCCCCGATGAGGATCAATCTCTTTTGAGCATCGTGCTGCCATTAGCGGTGGTGCCCATTGCAGCTCTGTGCCTCGCCTGGGTCGCCGCAACTCTCCGCGCACATTTCCGCGACACAGAAACAGTCCTGGCACAGCTGCGCGGGTTTTCTTTTGAGCGGGACCCTGTCTGTCATTGCTGCTCGGTCAACCACACCAGCCCAACAACTGGCACACCGATGCCCTGTGACAGAGAACTCCTCGCAGCATGCGTGGCTTTGTGGTTCGGATCCGTGGCTGACTTCGACACCTATGTCCAGCAGGACGTTGCCGCAGCCTTTGAAGAAAACCTCGGGCAATTCGGAGTTCCATACTCCTGGATCGTCGGCAGCACCGTTCCCGTGCTTTGGTGGGCGCCTATGTACAGCTGGAATTACACCCTGAATCCGGACGGCAGCTTTCTGCGCGGCACAGTGAGAGACAACATGCTTGGTGCGGCGACAATCATGTATTGGGTCGCCGTTTGGTGGTTGCTATGCATCCCGATGATATTCTTGTTCTGGCAAAAGATCCTCCGAAAAGGTCGCCGACGACGAAGTCGCGTGTGGCAGGAGGTGCTCATCAACCTCGCATGTGGCATCTCTGTCGGCCTGATCTACACGATCGTACAGCTTCTGGACGTGTCGGGCCTCTTAGCGTGGCAGTACCTCCTCGGTGAGGACTTCTATTTAGAAGCCTGGCTGGCAAGCTCGTCCTGTCTCATGGTGATCCTCCTGTGCCTTCTCCACGGCCAGGGCTTGAAGCTTCTCTGCCGCCCAAATTGATGGTTGCTTGATAGCACGTGTAGGAACTCTATACTACGTATAGTTATAAGTCCCTTAATTGGGGTTGTAAGTACTTATAAGTATAGTTCCCCAATAATAACCCGAGCATCGCAACCCTGAACCCCAACGCGATAGTTGCAGTCTCACTCAACAGGCCTCGAACCATATGCCTCTCCTGGATTGTCCGAGTGTGAGCACCGAAACCGATGGTGCCAGCGACGAAGGCTTTACTTTTCCAAGGTGGGAACAAGTCCTCTCCTTCGGCGCATGCAGTTGGAAACAAGCGTCAAAAGAGGATAGTTCTTTATGAGCCTATAAGTTGTTCGGACCCTTCCAACAATCGCGCGGACGTACCCTGCAACGCGGCCTTGTTCTGGCTACTTGTAGGGGGCAGACAAACCAACCGATGGTTGTTAGGGCCTAGTGAAATGACCGAAACCCGACGTTGAGCTCCTCTGAAGATCAACAGGCTTTGGAGCGGTTGCAATGATGTATGTAAATCGGGCCTGCAGCACGTTATGCACTGCAGCTGCTACAACATAGGTTACGCCTCCAACCGACAATCACCAAGAACCTCGTCTGGCACGATCGAGTGAGATGCCCGTCGCAACAGCTTCACAGTCTCTCCGCCCGTTGATCCCTGGCCGTAAACACGGCCCGGCAACCAAATTGGGCAAATATAGAGCATAGACATGTATAGATCCCACCATGGCAAGATCCTAACTGGAAGAACGCTTTTCAGAACCCAAGGACGGGGAGTCTAAAGTCTAAACCTAACTACTTTAGGGGCCTTAATCATGAGAATAGGGTTTGAGGGGCTCCTTATTGACATTCTAGTTTCATGTGCCCCAAAACCCTATTCTAATCATTAAGGCCCTTATATCATAGAACCCTACTATAGATCCCTTATAGAACCCTTTTAAGGAGCCCTTTAAAGGAGCAGCCCCCTTCCTAATGATTAAGGCCCCTTTATTGCCAAGATAAGGTCTCGACTGCGCGGAGGAGCAGGCGATCGGGCTAAAGCTTCAGGGTTTGCAGGGGCTCATTTAGGGTTCCTTGAAGGTTTAAGGGTTCCCTTACGGGTTCCTTTAAGGGGTGCTTTACGGGCTCCTTTAAGGGATCCTTTACGGGTTCCTTTAAGGGTTCCTTTAAGGGTTCCTTTACGGGTTCCTTGAAGGGTTCCTTGAAGGTTTAAGGGTTCCTTTGCGGGTTCCTTTAAGGGGTTCTTTTTCGGTTCCTTAAGGGTTCCTTCCTACAGGGTGTTACAAGGAGCTGTCGAGATATTGTGTTGCTTGCAGAGACTCAAAGGGGAAAAGGAGGGACCCTTAATGCGGACCCCTAGCCCATAATGGGCCATATAATGGGTATATAATAATAGCTATAATAAGGGTATATACCTAGGGGTCCTTATTAAGGGTCCCTCCTTTTACCCTTGGAGAGACAGTTCCAGTTTCTTGGCTCGCTGGCGTTTGGAATCTCAGCCAGCAGAGCCGAAAATCAGAGCAGTGGGCGGCCAGCTGCAAAACGGGGTTCTATGACTTAGCATCAGAGATCTGGGTGCAAAGGCCAGGTTAGAGAATCATATGGCCAACCTTTCCATCCCGGCTGTAGTACTTGCAGGCCTTTTGGTGGTTGTTCCCCAAAAGTTAGGGAAAGGCTCTTTTTCAAACCCCGGTGAGGACTTACACGCAATGGCCAGACGGTTGAAGGCGCCAGCTGGTGCACTGGGCAAAGATCGCTCATGGAGATTACAGGGTTCGGAGTTTTCCGGGGATTAGGGGTTGGGGATGACAGGGCTTTGTGGTCGAGTGTTAGTCCTGGCGGAGTCGCAGCAGCAGGCCAGCTATAGGAGCAGCGCCCTTACCCCCCAGCCCAAAGGACCCGAACAGAAACCCTTGAACTCCAAACCCTAATCCGCAAACCCATCCGCCAGCACGTTCTACCCACGTGCGTCCGCAACAGGCAGCTGAATCCGCGAACCTCATCCGGTGCCGGCAGCCTTGTGTTTTTCAGGGTTTGGACAGTCCGCTTTCGATGGCACCCTTATGTATGATACGGTGGTCCGGTAGTCTTGTGTAATCCTGTTTAGAGCCCATGCGAGATCACTGGGGGTCGGAGAAATTCAATTGCAACCTGATTTCTGAAACTCATGTGCGCCAGGTACGCACCGGAGCTTCAACCACAAAGTATCAACGTAGACTGAGCGTGGCCAGTGTGGCGAATCACATCAGGAGGAGATGCCATGCACATCTTTCTCATGCATTGTTGAATCTTCTGACAAAGTTCGCCACGCCATCCGGCCAGACATAGTAGAGAGTAGCTGCGTTGGTGGCAGCACACACACTCCTGATGGGCTCGTAGATCCTATGCCATGCATCGTGTGCATCATTTAGTCGACAGCATTGTAAATCCAATGCAGGACGACAATAGGATGACCGACAACAGAGGCTGCCTTAAGCATGGGCCTTCGCTGCAGTAGGCCACAGCTCAAAGCCTACAATACCCATCAACCCCTTAAACCCTAAAGCCCTAAACCCCTCAACCCTGAAAACCCTAAAGCCCTAACCCCCTAAACCCTAAAAGCCCTAAACCCCTAAACCCGAAACCCATGAAGTTCCCTGACCAAGGGGCACATGCAAGTGACTGCAAGTGCTAGCAACTCTCGGCCAACGAGCTGAGCTACAGCGGCGCGCGCTGGAGGAAGAAATGCGACGGCCAAGCAGAGAAGTGCAGTGTCGCTTTGTTGTGAATTTTCATTGCGGGAGTCGTTGTCGATGGTTTCCGGGCTTTGCAGTCTTGGTGGAGACTTGGTCTCAAGGGGTGCAGTTGAAGGCAAGGTCCGGTTTCTCTTGGTTGCGAAGCTTGGCATTGCTTCAGCTGTGGGTGAACCCCTTAGTGCCAAGCTCTGTGAGTTTAATGTCGCTAGCACTGAGAGTCTGGCAGAGCCATCTGGGTGAGTGCTTGTTATCGCGCTTGATCCAACGCTGTAGGATGCCTTGCCATCTTAATCTTCATCTGTGAAAGCCGCTCACCCTCTGAGCCTGCACAAACGCAGACCGCACAGCACCCCAAAGCCTCCCCCCTTCCAAAGAAAACTACACTAACATGTCCCCCAACAAACCTCCAAAGAGCGGGAAACACATCCTTCCCGGAGGCCCGTTACACGCTTCTGCCAGGATCGGCCCTGCCGGGTTGAAAAAGAGAGGGATGGATTCTTCTTTGCACATGTTTCACCTGTTATCACGTACTGTTGCCATTATTGGTATGTTTTTACTTGTGTCAGTAGTGGTATCGGTATTGGAACTGGTACTCTTCGTCTTCTTCTTCTTTTCATACGTGTTATCTTGTATTTCCACCATGATTGCGACTAGTATTGCTACTATTTGTTATGATGACCATCACCAGCATCACTATTACCATTTTCATCATTATGACGATGACTAGTAAATTCCATTATTGTTGGTACTGCCTGCAACTTTTGTTTAGCATGGTTTCGTTCGAATATTAAGTAGTACTCCTGCTATTGCTATGGCTATCAATGTTGCTCTTGTTGTTATCATTAGTGTCATTGTGATTGTGCGTGTCATGATGATGGTGGTCATGATGGTGATGATGTGTTTCTTGTTGTTCTGCCACTATTGATTGTTGGTTCAATGGTTTCCCGAAAAGTCTTCTCAGGCTTCCATCGGTAGAGTTTAGGGATGTTTAGGGTCTAGGGGTTGCAGAGGCTTTTCGAGGAGTTCAGTTGCAAAAGGTGGGCGCAGGGGTTCAGGGTTTGGGCCGCTGAGGTGCCAAGTTTGGGAGGGATCCGGTTGATGGCATAAATCCTGCCTTACCCATAATAAGGAATGTACCATAATTCCCATAGTTCAGGGTCCTTAAGGTCATACAGGATTTACATCATCAACCGTCTGTAGAGGTCTCGAAGTTTCAAGTTCCTTAACACCTGATCTGTAGACTGAAACTTCCTAGCTACGGGACGTACTGGTTGTTTGTCCTTCTCGCGGATGTCCCCTAAACCTAAACCCCGCCAAAGTTTGCTTGCTGTCACTGGAGTCGCTGAGTCTGTGTATTGTAATTTGACCCTTGGGCCTCGCAATTTGTCAGCCTGTCTTATGCGACTTTGTGACCCTCCTGCGGTGCGCAGTAATACCGAGAGACCTCGTTTGGTTTGTCCCGGGTCGAGAGCGTAAACCTAAACCCCTAAACCCTCCCAGTTTGCCACAGATACTGTCATACAGCTTTACAATCGCTTGTCGAGGCGAGGCCCAGCGTGAGGCTCGTGCCACGGAAGCGCTACCCGATTCCAGGAAGAAGAAAAAGAGTGAATGCAGGGTTTGGGGAGCTTTGGCTGCCAGCCCTCAGTCTTTTGAAGATCGTCAGAAGCGTTGCCGGAAGTCGTAGATCAGTGGGAGTTCCAGTGCCTTACCAGGGAAAAGGACAAGATAGTACCAAAACATGATTCAAAGACGGATGCGCGAAGTGTAGGTTCCTTGTGAGCCCGTGCTCGAACGGAAGGGCCCGGGCTGTTTGCGATCGATTGGAGCGAAGCCTCCTTTGCATTGCAGTGCGGCTCTTACGGAGCAGTCCTTGAACCCTTCCAGCCGACCTGAGTCATCCCTCAGAGTGATCTGGAGCTTGAGCCCTTCGAAGCCTTTGCCCTTACCTACTCCAACTCCTCGGCCCATGTCCGAAGCCTACGCATCAAAGCCCCAAGGCCTAAGCCGGAATCAAGCTCTAAGCTCAAGTCCTCATGGACGGCCTTCCTCGGGCACGCTGTCACAAATGGCGGGACCTGCCAAGGCCTTCGAGGGGTTCATCATTCCTCGTGGTTGCTGATGTTGTTGTTGTTCTTTCTGATTCCGTTTTTCGCGTACACGCCTGAAGCGCAAATTTCCGCAGAACGAACACTGACACCTTGTAGGACATGGCAAGTTCTGCAATATCTGGAGGTGTCTAATGCCAATCCAAAGAAGGCATATTCATGGCACCAAGGCCGCATGAAGTTTTACGCATGTAAACTAGGTCTTAGGGCGGCTTGAATGGTCGCATCACGCAACTGCGGCCAGTCAGACCCTATTGCGGATGGATTGTGAAATAGAAGATGATAAGATAAGCTCACTGTTTCTTGGTTTCATGCCACTCTTGCACTTAATGGGCTACCAGATTTACAACCAAGGTCGGATAGCCCTGCCCCATCCACCGCCATGCGCGATCGTTGAAATGCCACGAGGTACGGCGAGACCTCGCAGAGCTTTGCAAAAGCCTCGGTCTGCAAGGGTTTTGGGCCCCCCCTGACATGAAGCACTGGTGCAAGGGGACTTGCCATTGTGATGATCACAGGGCATCATGGCCTGAAGATCTCTCTGGCGGTCCGAGTGGGAGCAGAAGCTGTTTTGGACGCTCGCACCCGTGCTCCAGCGTTGTCATGCGCAACAGCCATCCGTTTTGCTATCCACGTCTGCCTGCGGTGGCGACGAGCTCTGTCCACTGTTTGATAGAGCTTTAGACATCCGAGTCTCAAGCCCACCCCTGAAACTGTAAGATCCCGGCGGTCGTGTTGTGCTAAGGTGCAGCGAGCCAGCGCAGCCGTGAGCTGGAGGTGGCTTGTGGAGACTTGGAGCAGGAGCGCTGGTGGGCGGGTCCTCGCGGATTCTCAGGCCTGACGACAAGTTAGTTAGTTTGAGTAGGCTCGTCTTTACTTATGACTTTGTATGCCTTGCGACAGGCGGGATTCGACAAATCAAGCATTGTTCATACAGGGGATTTCTTGATGTTTTAAACCATTTCCAGGGTACGCATGTTCATATGATCCTCAATTTTTACATTCTTGCCTTTACAGGTTCTTGGTCCTGCTTACAATTGCTTTACATCGGTTTCCGAGAGCATGTCGATGACGAGCAAGAAAGTTTTGCTTTGATTCTCTGATGCTGAACCTGTTGGAGTTTCGCGTGGGTTTCGACTCCATCATGTGCAATGGTGGAGAAGCCTATGTAAAGGATCCCGGGGAGGCGGCACAGGGCAAATTCTCTCCACAGGCCCCAAACCCTGCGACGGAAGACAACGCAGATCAATGTGGCCAGCCATGCCGGATGCAGTGGCGAAAGCTATTCCGGCTATGGGAAACACCACCTGCCACACTCGCAGAACTTCCGCTTCCAAGGGCTGCCTGAGTCAGAGGATGTATCTGGGTTGCACGCGAACGCTGCCACCATTTCGAAGCTGCGATCGTTGTTGAGCCCCTTCCGAATTGTTTCGGTTTTGTAAAACCCTAAACCCTATGTTTTTTAAGATTCCTATCCAGAATCCAGGAGTACTACACCTCGAAGCTGCGGCAGTTTGCCTCGCAGCGCCATGCCCGGGGCTGAGTCTCTAGAGGATTCCTTGCATGGGCATGGGAGTTGGCCAACCGCCTAACTTCGCGGCTTGCCGTTCCCCCGCCATGAACTAGTCGGCGCGTTTTTGCCAGCTATGCACAGCCCTGCTGTTACGAGATGGCCTGCCGAGAGCATGGCCCTTCGAAGGCACGCTCCCCTTCTTTCAGCGGGGTGACCGTGTAAACTACCTCCACGTGTAACGACTGTTGTTTTTCTCAGACTTCCAAACTCCCTGCTGCAAAGCCCCAAACCATACAAGAGCCCAGGTTGCCCTCAAGCTCGAACCCCAGGTTACGCTAAACCCCGAAGCCCAGGTTCTGCAGCTCTGTGACCAACTCGCAGAGGTGGAGCAGCGCCATCACTCGCTCTTGGCAGAACTGCCTGGGCCTCGGTGTGCCGCTGTTGCAGAGACCGGAAGAGCAGGCTTTGGTTTAGGTTTTTACAGTTTACAAGGGCAAAATTATTCATTGCTCAAAAGCATAGATCAAAGTAGATCTATCCCGCGGCCTACAGCCTTGTGACAGTCAAAAGAGCTTCCGATGAAGTTCGGACTACTTTCGTGTGCCCTCTCAAGCTGCTCTCATGACCCATGACTGTTCCATAGCGGGACGTTGCGCCGGCCTACCGGAAATGAAGGTTTATCCTAACGAGCGATTATCAGTAAAATGGCGACAGCTGTGTGTGTGTGTGTGTGTGTGTGTGAGTGTGTCTACAGTCGCCCGCCTGCAAAGAAAGAGTCAGAAACGTCAGATGAGCCAACGGGAGTGATCAGAGCCACCGGAGCCAGAATGGTGTTTGCAAAGGGGTTCAAGGAGTCATCAGTCACTACCTGTGAAGTCCAAGGAAGCAAAAGAAGCAGAGAAATCAGTCGCAACGCACTACCTCCAAGGAAGCACTCTAAACTCTAAACCCCTCAACCCTAAGCCCCTAAACCCTAAACGTTATCCTCGCTGTGGTTTGTCCCAGAGTGAGTGCTGAAACCCTAAACCCTAAACCCCCAAACCATTTTGGCCCAAGCTCAAAGAAGAATGTGAAGCTGGAGCTTGTGCTTGCATCCTTTCCGTTCAGCATCGGCCATGCTGCGGATTCAGACCGTGTCGGGTGAAGAACTCGTTGCCCTTGACTTGACGAGCTTTCTCGAGACGCTGTCTGCAGGGATGCATCCTGTCCGCGCAGTGAAGCAACACTTGCACAGCATTTGTGGTGTGTCAAGGTTCAGGCAAAGGCTGGTATTTCTTGATGATGGCACAGTTCTAGGTGACGATGGAACCCTGAGACCTGGCGAAGTTCAGGTCGTACTTCTAAGCTTCTGCCCAGCATCAGACGCTACAGTGACACTGCTTCGGGGTGTAGCTAGACGTGGCCTGTCAGCAGAAGTGGAGACTCTTCTACAAAGACCGCAAGACCCAGATTTGGGCGATCCGGCCCCTCTGTTCGAGGCGTCCGAGCACGGCCAAGCAGAGGTTGCACGCCTTTTGCTGGAGGCCAATGCAGACAAGGACAAGGCCAAGCAGGACGGCGCCACCCCGTTGTTCATTGCGGCTGAGCAGGGGCAGCTGGAGGTTGCACGCCTTTTGCTGGAGGCCAATGCAGACAAGGACAAGGCCAAGCGGGACGGCGCCACCCCGTTGTTCATTGCGGCTCAGCAGGGGCAGCTGGAGGTTGCACGCCTTTTGCTGGAGGCCAATGCAGACAAGGACAAGGCCCAGCAGGATGGCGCTACTCCTTTGTTCATTGCAGCTTGGGAGGGGCAGCTGGAGGTCGCATGCCTTCTGCTGGAGAGCAATGCCGACAAAGACAAGGCCATGGAGCATGGTGCCACCCCGTTGTTTATTGCAGCTCAAAGCGGGCGGCTGGAGGTTGCACGCATTTTGCTGGAGAGCAGAGCAGACATGGACAGGGCCATGGATGATGGCGCCACGCCGTTGCTGGTTGCAGCTGATAGAGGGCAGTTGGATGTTGCACGTCTTTTGCTGGAGAGCAATGCTGACAAGGACACAGCCCAACAGAATGGCGCCACCCCATTGTTCATTGCAGCTCAAAGCGGGCGGCTGGAGGTGGCACGTTTGCTGCTGAATGCCAATGCAGACATTCAGAGGGCCATGGATAATGGCGCCACCCCATTGCTGGGTGCAGCTGATAGAGGGCAGTTAGATGTTGCACGCCTTCTGCTGGAGTCCAATGCTGACAAGGACAAAGCTATGCATAATGGCGCCACCCCATTGTTCATTGCAGCTCAAAGCGGGCGGCTGGAGGTGGCACGCTTGCTGCTGGACGCCGTTGCAGACATGGACAGGGCCATGGATGATGGCGCCACGCCGTTGCTGGTTGCAGCTCATAATGGGCAGTTGGACGTTGCACGCCTTTTGCTGGAGTCCAATGCTGACAAGAACAAAGCCAAGCATAATGGCGCCACCCCTTTGTTCATTGCAGCTGAACATGGACAGCTGGAGATTGCACGCTTACTGCTGATCGCCAATGCGGACATGGACAAGGCCATGCAGGACGGCGGCACCCCATTGCTAATTGCAGCTCGTAATGGGCAGTTGGATGTTGTACGCCTTCTGCTGGAGTCCAATGCGGACAAGGACCAGACCCAAAAGCATGGTGCCGGTGCCACCCCATTGTTCTTTGCAGCTCAGCATGGGCAGCTTGAAGTTGCACAACTTCTACTCGATGCCGAGGCGGACATGGACAAGGCCACGCATGCTGGCGCCACCCCTTTGTTCACTGCAGCTGAGCATGGGCAGCTGGAAATTGTGCAACTTCTGCTGGAGGTCAACGCGGACATGGACATAGCCACGCATTCTGGCGCAACCCCTTTGTTCATTGCAGCTGAGAGAGGGCAGCTGGAGGTTGCACTACTGCTGAACGCCAAGGCGGACATGGACAAGGCCATGGATTATGGCGCCAGCCCATAAAGAAGAGGCAGGTGAATGTTGCACGCCTTCTGCTGCAGTCCAATTTAGACATGGACATTGCCCGAAAGCAGGACGCCCGACCAGTACGAGGTTATAGATCAGATAGGCAAACCTCCTAAACTCCCCAAATGCGAAACCCTAAACCCCACAATGCAGAGAGTGCGAGTCGAAACCCCTAAACATGTGCATGATAATTCAACATTTCGCCCGGTATATACGTAGCTGCAGAGTCTGCTCCCAGTAGCCTCGCGTTTGACCCACTGTATTCATGTGAATAGCGTGGCTGAGTCCAATTAGCCGTAAAGTGAGACTAATGCTTCTTTCGAACAGTCGATAACAGGTCGACATTAGGGGGTAAAGGTGTCTTCTTTTGAAGCTTTGTTATATCGCCCCGAACCTATATCCTGAGCGTGTAGTGCTGCCTTTGAATCCTCTCTGGTAGTATTCTTTGTCTTTACTTCTGCCCAGGGTCCTGCGTCGTGCTTGTTGTATGCTTCATTGTGTGGGATCCTGGGGGAGAGTGCGTCCTTTCAACACGGTCACTTTAAGTGTTGTAAAATATAAATATATATATATATATATTTTTTTTTTTTTTGTTGTTGCTTACCTTTGACCGCTCTCCAAGAGCCGTTTCACTCAGCAGACTCCGAACCACATGCCTCGCCCGGATTGTCCGAGTGTGAGCGCCGAAACCCCCAAACCCTAAACCCCTGAACCCTTAAGCCCTAAACCCTTAAACCCCAAACCCTAAACCCCAGTCGCACCGATCGAGGCGAAGTCGCAGTCGGACGGCGGAAGCCTGGCGCACGGAGACCGCGGCCCGCGAGCCAGGGGCCTGCTACTATAGACCTTAATAATTTCCTATGCTAGTTTGGGGGGGTTCCTTATAACCTGTACTAGTTTGGGGGTTCCTTATTAAATTTTTAGTATAATGGATAATTACCTACACTAGCTTGGGGTTTCCTTACGATAATTATAGTATACTGGGCCCCAAAACCCTAGTCTAATTATTCAGGCCCCTGCATTACCTTGGGCTGAGGCTTGGAAGTTTGACAGCGGGCTCTTGACGATTAGACCTGGGTTTAGGGGCATGCAGCCGGGTTGGGGGTCTAGGGTTCAGGGAATATTAGACAAGAAGGAAGAGAGCCCTGGGTGTATTGGGGTCTTCAGTTAGAGCTTTTGGGCTGATGGTTTTTGAGTTTTTTCGTTGGTTGTCAGCACGATGATCACATGCACGATTGTACAGGAGGGTTGGTGATAGCAGCAGTCGCAACAACACATATTGAAGCAGAGATGGCAATAATGTTATCAGTAAGGACGGTGAAGCAGAAGTGCTAGCGAACTAGTAGAAACGATGGTGGCACCGGTCTTCAAAAGTAGCAGTCGCGTCGTCTGCGGCTCCAGGGGAAGCTGTGAGATATCTGTACGTTTCGAATCAGGCATCATTACTCCCCTGCAGGACGGGACAGAGGTAGTACCAGCAGCAGCCGTGGCAGCAAAAGAGTACAGGAATGGTTCTTTTGGGGCGAGGAAGGAAGCTTGGCAGAATGAACAGCGAGATCCTGAGCCTTAATAAGGACCCCTAGGTATATACCCTAAATATAGCTAGTATATACCCATTATATAGCCCATGATAGGGTAGGGGTCCCCATTAAGACTGAACCCTCAATGGTTGATACCGTGGCCGGCTTCTCCTTTGCCTCCCATGGCGGTGCCGAGTTTCCTGGATCTGTTTTCACTTGTCTCCCCGGGGTTGTGACACTCGTCTGGTACATCCTGGTGTGAGTGTCACAGAACCTTAAACCTGGAACTCAAAACACCCCAAACCCTAAACCCCCATATGCACAAATCACCGCAGCCCGCGAGTCTTTGGCTTCAATTTCTTCCCTCGGTCCGGTCCCTGCCATGCCGGGAGCCCTCGCGCACATTAGCCGGGGCCCTGTTCAGTGAAAGGGTGGGTGGCGGGGGTGCGGGGGGGGGGGGGTGCAGGTTTTGGTGTAGCTGTGTAGCTTTAGAGGGTCTTCGTGGATATGGGCTTCTCGGAGCTTCACAAATAAACCTATAAACCCCAACATTATTCCATCCCCCTTTAGAGGAGCCCCTAAAGCGGAATAGAGTGCTATAACTACAACAGGAACTCTCAAGAGGAGTATCAGTGATGGCAGACGCAAGCTTCTTGAAACGAAGATGCAGCCTCTATAGTACGCCCTTTGGACCACTGAAGTTTCGTCGCCTTCTGTGAAGCGCTGGCTGCACATTTCGCGGGCATTAGCTGTTGTCGACTGGTGTTCAGAGGTTGCGAGGAGAGCCTAGGAGCTATGCCCTGACGACTGCACAGGGTGGCTGCAATCGTTAGGTCCTCGCATCTGTCTTTCTTTCTCGATTCGTCTGGGTGTCGAGGCCTCTTGGCTGGGCTGCTCCTGCAAAGCTCTACAGCCGATGCCTCAGGGTACATCACAACATACTAATGTATAACATGCATGATAACGTTGTGCCATGCATGTTTGGTGACGGGCCAAAGAACCAGAACCTGAAGCTTTTCTGATCACGTGTCTCTGGTCTTATGTTCTTCAAGCAGACGCACGCTCCAGCCCGGAACTCTCACATGACCCTGCAGACCAAAACCGAGTTGCTTCTTCTCTTCGAACCCGCCGAGGTGTTCGGTGCAGACGTGAAGAGCACGAATATCAAGCCCTTTGGTGCTTGTGGTGCATGCCAGGTTTTTGTTGCAGGTGCTTGCGCCGTATTGACCGTGTTCGGGTATTCGAGTTGATTTAGGCTGGTAGATCGCAGACCTTGAGCTTCCATCTTGGAAACCGGCAGAGTCTCGCCTACTACTACTACTACTACTACTACTACTACTACTACTACTACTACTACTACTACTCCTACTACTAGTACTATGCTATACAAAACTATACTACGACCAAGTGTCGGGAGTTTGAGATGTCCTTTCGGTTGCTAGCGGCAGCGGCTCTGAGGCTCTCGGAGATGCACTTTGCTTGTCGCGAGTTGCCCCGAAACCCTAACCACTAGACCCTGAACCCGAACCCCTAACCCCTAAACCCCTAAACCCCTAAACCCCTAAACCCTAAACCTTAAACCCAAGCCACCTAGGTTTCATGAGGGCCTCCCGCGCGAGGAGAAATGGAAGTCCAACGGACCGGAGCCCAGAAAGGAAGCCATCTACTACGAACTAGGACAGCTGCGTGATCGACCTGTACGTTTTTCCCCACCGCCCTCCCCCCACCCGCTCACTTCCGCTTCTGCTTCTTCTTCTGCGCCTACGTCACGGTCTTCTTCTAACCCATGCTACGACCTCTGATCTTGCTGCTCCCACTGCAACTGCTGCTGATGCCAATGCGACGGCTCTGCTAGTGCTACAGCGGCTGCTGCCGCTGCTGCTGCTTCTCCTGCATCGTGCTGCTGAGTGGCCTCTTCCATCTCTTCGGACACCTGGGACCTGTCCATCCAGGGTTAAGGTGTGCTTGGGGCACAGCTTTGGTGGTCAGCTTTGTCACCTCAGGCCACATGGGCATCACGCTGTGGATGCCCTGGGCCAAGCACAGGGTTCGGATCTACTCAGGGGGTTGTCTTAGAGGCGGCTTCTGTGGGTGCTGTCCGACCCAGGCGAAGTGCGAAGCCTGCTGCAAAAGGTTTGTGGGACTTGGGGGCAAAGGTGACATGGCCGTCCGAATGTCATCAGGAGTCGTCACTTGTAGGTCGTGCTGCGGACTTCTTTAAGCCTTCAATAAATGCCAAGACAAATCCTGTCCCACCATAGCAAAAATAGTAATTTTAAAATTATAACAATACATTCAGAGCCGAATGCATCTGAGGACCGGCCTTTCGGGCAGTGGCAAGAGCACGATTAGCGCGAGCCGCTGAGTTCGGGGGCTGTTCATTCGGGGGCCTTTTTCGGTTGGGGCAGCATACTTTGGGGTCCGGACCATCGGTAGCATGAGTATCATTAATAAGGAGGATTCTACGGACTTAAGGTCAAACGGTGTGGTTCATGTTCTGAAGTTGCCACAAGACCGTCTGACTTTCAACTGCTGCCTTTGGGTCTTGATGTCCTTGGGTGCTTTGGTGCTTGAACCTTGAACGCCTCCTTCCGGACATGGCTGTTTTCCCTTCGAGCAAAGGGTGCTTTGTGGCCTTTGTCCTCCGAACTCGAAGTCGAGGTCCATAGCTTCTTGCGTTCATTCGCACAGTCACGGCTTTCCTCTTTGCGCACTTTTCCCCACACAGCCTGCAAGAATCCACGGACCGCTAACGCCAAGGCCTCGCCCCCAACCTGGCTCAGTCCCAGTGTCAGCCGAAATTATTCAGGATTCCCCCCAGCCACCTACTTCAGTATTCTTCAATAATCCACGAGCGCACATCGTCCGGACAAGTGGCAACGCTAGCAACGCGGTGATGGTGCACATAGTGCTAGTTGGTAGCGGTAGTCGCTGTGGTGGTGGCGGTGGTGTTGGTGCATGTCACCGGTAGGAGGCAAGCAGCAGGAGCAGGAAAAACAGCTTCCCAAGCAGGTGAACGAGTCCCATGCCCTTAAATGTTTACTCCCAAAAACCCCTCACCCTTCCTCAGCCAGCTGTGGCAATCGACTCCTGACATGGGCAGAAGGAAAAGAGGCTTCAACAAAAGCAAGCGAAATAGATAAGCCGGAAATACTGAGCTCCCAAAGCGCACGAAGCGCTAAGTTTGTTGCCGGCCCGCTCTCGAGGTGGCTCTGGAGAGGGCCCTGGTGGAGATGCAGCCCAAGAGCTACTTCGTGCAGGGCCCCAAGCCGTCGATGTGGAGTGTATTGGGTTTAGGGCTTTGGGGCTCTGGAGTTTTGAACGTGGGATTCTGGCAGGAATATGTGTGTGCGGAGCTGCAGAGGATGAGTAAGAATGCGGTGCTACCAGAACAGAGAGCCGATTATGGAGCACAGCGTGGAGCCAATTTGTGTGTTTGTATTCGTCATGTGTGCCTGTGTGATACGAGGGCCTATCGAAAACAAAAAGAGCGGCAAGCCACGCAGAAAGTGGACACCTTATCCAGTGCTGCCGTATCCATCCTCGTCCGAGTCCTCCCCGCCATCATGTTTGCCATGATCGTCACTAGCATTCATGGCTTCACCATGACCATCAGCATCCGTACTTCCATCCGTATCATTTATTTTTGAGTCATCATCATCATCATCAAGTCCCTCACGCCACCTCCACCCAAGGTACCGCTTGGATGGCGACAACTTGCGGTTCGGGCTCAACAGGCGCCAGCATGTCAACGGTGTGGCCGCGGTAAGTGTATATGGGAGTTTCCGAGAACAGGCGACCTAATATAGTACCCTACATAGTAGGATCCTTATTACCAGGAGCCCAAAATCAAGTACCCCTGTTTTCGGAAACCCCCATTTTTTGGTGGGAGGAAGGATTTGGGAGAAGGAGTTGGCAGCCTGGTCGTTTCGAAGAATTCGGAGGTGGAGGGCCTTTGCAACTTCAGAGCTAGGATCATCCTCAGCCGACCTTCCGAGTCCAAACCTCAGCCCGTGATAAGCCCTTAGGGTTTAGGTTTAGGGTTTAGGGTTCAGGGATTTTGGCTCAAGCTGGCTACGAGACCCAAACGGGTGTGACTTTTCCAATTAGTGAGTTTCCTAGAAGCTGTTGCTATGGATGCTCGCTCTCGTAAACTGTGTGCCTGCCTTGGATATTCTATTCGGCTGGCTGGAAAATCAGATCTTGATGAAGTCAGCCAGATGTTATGGCAGGCTCTCCATCTGGTGACTGCAAAAGTTGATGGACGAATACCCATCTCCTTATTCTCAGCTCTGGATGAGAAGGGCTTGCAGGTGCAAATTCCAAGGGACCATGATGCAGACTCCAAAGAACACTTCAGATCTGGAAAAGAAGTCGGAGGCAAGCCCGGGTTGCACACCCAGGCGGATGATGCACGAACTGCGACTCATGCTACCCAGACTGAGGTCGAGGTGATTTCGCGGCCTCAGTTTGAAACCATCATGGGGACTACCATGGAAAGAGTCTCGGAACTTCAAGGTATCGTGAACTCCTTACAGCTGCGCCTTGCCACTGTGGAAAAGGAGCCGGACCGACGAGGTTCTACCTGGTCCCCCTCTGTGATGCCAGAAGCTCTTGAGGTTGATCAACACAGTGCTCCCTCTTCGTCGTGCATGGTCCCACATGCTGTGGGGAATGTTCTTGCTGTCGAGGAAACTAGCTCTGAAAGGACGTTGCTTGCAAGTTTTGAAGACTTAAAAGAGGCACACCGGCAGGAAAGGTTGGCTTTGAGACAACAAAGACGACATGACCGAAATCTGCGCATGGCTCGCTGTATAGACCCTGAGCCTGACACCTAAATTACAATGCTATGTACGACTTGAGTTCTTGCGTTGCTCATGTGTGCATCCCCGAGGTCTCCTACTAGGGTGACTGAGGAAGGCTCTGCCCTAGAGCTTCGTTGCCGGCATACACTCCAAGTCCGTGCTCAAAAAAGGGATTAGTATTACTAGTTTTGTTACTAGTCCTATTATTACTATTGTTGCCTGGCATCCGACTCGGCGCAGGGATCTGGGCTTCAGCCCTTCCGACCGGAAGGAGAATGTCCGACGAGTCTCCGAGGCAGGCCCAGGAGCCGCAGAGAGGTGTAGACGAAAGGACTGATGCAAGAGCCAGGGTTTAGGGTTTAGGGTTTAGGGAAGTGTTTTGTCAATCTACAGCAAGTTTCAACTCAGTTGTTGTTAAAATCTAAGCCAACTCACCCGAAGCATGGGCAGCATGGGCACCTCATGCTGACCCACCCTCCCATACGTAAGCTTTTATTGCAACCCTAAACCCTAAACGGCCCCATTGCACTTAAATAAAAACCTTTGGGGCCAGGTGTCCAGGCTCTTCGCGGAAGCTCGGACCTCGGGAGTGGAAGTGGTTGTGTTGCCCAAAATAGTAAGCCCCGAGCTGGCAGACCAGTAGTTTATAGTACAGTTTTAGAAATAGTATAGTCTATAGTTTTGTCTGGTATAGTTTAGTTTCGCAGTTTCGCACAGTTTCGTTGAGTTTAGCTTTGTCTATCCAAGCTGCTGTGCTCAGGGTTCTGGGCTCCATGAGCACAGGTTACACATCTCCTCCAAGGGAGGATTGAAGGGTAGCGGCCTTCTGTGAGTACCTTGCGTTGGAGAGGAGACCGACCTCCAGAGGCCGGAGCCATTGTGATCGCGGGCCTGATCTCGCCTTACGCTGCCGATCGCGAATATGCACGCGAGGCGAGGAGGGTTCTTGGGGAATCTCTCGCTGTAGAGCCTTGGCCTTCGGCTTAGGGCTCGAAAGTGGGCTACTCTTCTTGGGCATGGCTTCTTCCCAAGAGTGGGTCCATATGAGAGGCGAGGTATCATGACCCTGGCGGCCCGTGATCCTCACATCTCTCATGGTCCATGGTGCACCCTAAAACCCTCAGTCCCCGACACCAAGGTCTGTCATTAAACCCGCCGAGCCTTGCGCAGGTCCACAAGAATGCATCTCTGCCGTTTATGGAGGTCAGGAGGGAAGGGATATTGGGCAGAGTCAAGTACAGAGACGAACATCCCCCCAAAGTAATCCGTCTCCGAAGGGCCGCAGAGGGTACATCATCTGCCCAAAAAGATATGTACACCCGGCCATGTGGTGTGTGTGTGTGTGGGTAAGTATATGAAGCAGTACATACACATATTCTTGTGCGCATGTTCGTGTGTGCATAACCGCTTCTATTTGCAATTGAGTTTGGCCTCGGACACGCCGCACATGCACGACTACGGTCCGTGACTGACGAAAAAGATGTCACACGTACATACACACACACACACATGTGTGTGTGTGTGTGTGCGTGTGCGCATAGTTTTGAGCATGTGGGTGTACGTATAGACATGCCTTTGGCAGCAAATGTACGCATGCAATCTGACAGCACCGAGTGTAATGCCCAGCAGATTCAGCATCATTCCCAGCAACCCCTTGAACTGGGCAGAAGCCTTAAGCTCCATGGCAAGCTTGGGGAAGTAGGAGGCCAAAAGTTTTCACGTCCCTGGTTTACTTGCTGTAACTGTAGCCTCCCTTAAACCCTAAACCCTACTAAAACCCTTCTAATACACGAAAAACCTCAAAGCCTCGACGCCTAAATTGCAGGTCTTCGTAGATGCGCCTCTGGCGGCCGTGGAGAGCCGGGATCCGAAGGGCCTCTACAAGCTACTGGGCTCACAACCCAGCAGTTTATAATTACGAAATATTACCAATTCAATACTGTTTTGGGGGTTCCTTATTATAAGTATAGTATATTGGTCCCCAACACCCTGTTCGAATTATTAGGGATAAAGATTCAAAACAAAGGGGTTTATGCAGGGTTTTGTGCTTGGGTTGAGGCACCAGATGCAAGGCAAGGGCGTTTATAAAGGGCTCAGGGTTTGGGCTTTAGGTGGGTGCATGAGCATGTGTCGAGGTCACCGGACGTGTACAGATTCGCATTAGCGACGCCACAGACAGTTCCGTTGCACCATAGCGGCTTTGCGCGCACAGGTGTCACATGTTTGCATCGAATGTACTGTAGCTGTAAAGCTCTGCTTCAAAAAAATCGCGGGTGCAGGCAGATCAAGCTATGCCTATGCTACGTTGCATCAGGGTGAATGACAACGAATGTGCAGCTTAGTGTGGTGGCATGCACGACGTGCGTGCATACAAGTAAACAGCAAGAGAGCAATCGGATATCACTCGGCTAAGCACAGTGTCGAAAATGATGATACATCGAACTGTGAGCACATAGGCAAATGCACTCACGCATACAACACACCTCCATCCACTCCCTCAATTCCACTCCGCGCCGCTCCGCTCCTTCCATCCATCTAGCCATCCACCCAGCCACCCACCCATCCATCCAGCCATCCATCCCTGTCTCTCTCTGTCTGTCTGTCTGTCTGTCTGTCGGCCTGTCTACCTACAAGTATGTTGTTTATACATATGTATATGCATCTCGGTTTGTATTTGGCATACAGACTTTGCATGGCGTGGCGGATCCTGGTGGGGTCTCAGGAAGGCCCGGGAGGGCAAGATCAAGGGCTTCACCGGCATCGACGCCCCCTACGAGAAGTCACAGGGCTGAGCTCAGACGGGGCTTTCGCAAGCGAAGGTCTCAGGGAGTAGTAGTAATAGCAGTAATAGTAGTAGTAGTAGTAGTAGTAGTAGTAGTAGTAGTAGTAGTAGTAGTAGTAGTAGTAGTAGTAGTAGTAGTAGTAGTAGTAGTAGTAGTAGTAGTAGTAGGTGGTTTAGGGGTTAGGGGTTAGGGCTTGAAGCCGAGGCTTGAATTGCAGTATTCTTCCCTGGGAAAGAGGAGCCACAGCTGTCGCTGTCATAAGACAGGATCTTACCCAAACGTGCTCCCAAGTTTTTTGATGCAACAATCTCTCAGAGACGGGGCCTGCAGGCAAAGCGATCCAAGAAGAAGAACATGCTGCAAGTATGCTTTCTGCTTCTGCTTGATTAACCATTACCCGATTAGCCTATATGCCGCTCCTCACCACCACATGTCTTGTGCTGCTGCTATTGCTCACGACTTGCTCTGGTTCACCCCGCATTGGGTGTGCGTTGGTTGAAACCTGGTGATGGTGTCATGCGACTCCTTCGGTGCTATGCTGTTTGGGCCTGCCGGCGCAGGTGTGCGTCTCACCCTGTCAGGAAGGCGTCATTCCGAGGCATAAACTACCCGGAAGGTCTACAGCCTTTGTTGAAACCCGATAGTAGCCTCGAAGCTCACGGAAAGCTTGAAGAGCCGCAGATCCCGCAGCATGAGTTGAGGACACCGTGGACCAGATCATCAAAAACACGTTCGTGCAATTTCCATACGCTGGCAGGTAAGTCATGTAGCTTGCTTTCTCTTCTTTGGGGTTTGGCCATCCTTTGCCTGTGGCAACTGTCTGTTGCACCTCTGCTGTACTCTTACCATCTTATTTCCGATATTGCTCCATTCCTGATGTTTTTGTGATGAACGAAGCATGCTGAGATCTGCACTCAAGGCCTGCGAACCCAGAGGTGCACGTACGAACTGATCAGCTGACTGTCGCTGCTTGGCACGGACAACACGCAGAAGGGACGTGTTTCGGGAAAGAACGCAGTTAGAGGTACGTTCGCAAACTTTCATGGGTAGCAACGAGGCTGACATTGTCCGGCCTGAGCCGTCTCAGCCAAGGTTCAGTGCGTGAACGTGATCTTGAAGAAGCCAGGGGCCTGTAGATTGCCTGGTAACCTGTCGTCGATAATCGGTTCCTTCAACTTGCTACCGCCACTGAAGCATTCACGCTTGGAGACTTCCTGGCCCTGGGCCGCACAGGCTCGACGAGTTCGGCATCCATTTGCAGCAGACCTTCAGGCAACCCAGCAACAAATTAACCGCCCGGGGTAGCTTTAGCTAACTTGACAGCGAGTTGCACTAGCATGTGCAATTGGCACTCGAAAAAATCAACCGCTCAACTTCTTGGGATGTTTCGGCAAATCTGAGGCAGCTGGATGAGTCGACGGGTGAGTGCGCGGCCGTGCAGGAGAAGTAGCCAAGCGTGGCTGGCATCCAGGCCACTTTTAAATACCGCGACCTGCGTGGGCTCTTCAGCAGCCCGCTTTAGGAAAAAGGAAGATGAGAGGAGCGTGACACACACATAGCGATTGGTAACATGTGCAGCGAAGCTTCTAAGCATGGCCTGACCCCAACATGCAGATTCGTCCTACCGTCTGAAAGATCCAAGAAGAAGTAAACCTTAAAACTTAGAATCCGAAACCCCCAAACCTCCAACTCAAACTTGGAATCCTAAGCGCTAAGCCCTAGAACCAAAAATCCTGAGTGCCCTTGCAGTCCACTGCGCCTACGGCGCCAGACACCGGAGTGGTTGTTGACGTCGCAGCACTGGCAAAGGCCCAGAACATGTGTCCAAGACTGATCGGAGACCTGCTTTCCTCTCGAAACGTAAGATTAGATACAATCCGCTGTGTTTCAACACTAGCGGTTCACTATTTGGTAGTCTTGCTATTCATCGTCGCCCAAGATTGCCATACAACAGGTCATACGCAACACAAGCTCAGACATTGCTACGTAATGAGATGCACACAAGCTCGAAAATCGTAAAATCTTGAGGAGTGTCGCTAGTCCACCTCGGGTCTTTGAGTCAGGACTGTAAGGAACACCGGCTGAGGCCGTTGGCGATGGACTCAGTTAGGCGTATGTCTTCCAATAACTACATTGGAATTTCCGCACAAAGAGATGTTACTCGAGGTGAGTCGCACCAACAGCCCCAGGCACGTTCCGGACGGAAGCGTGTGTTTTCCAGGAAGACGAGCCCTGCAGGCTCAGTAACCGCATCTAGCGAGCGATGATGCAGGCCCAGAAATAGCTTCGAAGAGCCGTAATCTTGAAGTATCCTGCGAGCGCCCCCCCATCAAGCTTCAGGGCCCATGTCAGCAGTGGCTCAGCTGTCAGCACGCGGAGAATGGAAAATAGTTCGTTCTCCGATGTGCGACGGCCACGATCTGCAGCGCGATTCCGCGCTTGGAGCATGTGCCCAACGACGCCGAAAAAGGGCAACTGGGGAAGCGACCGCTCGAATAGTGAGGCACTTCAGGCCAAGGCTTAGCGCTCTTGTAGTCGCTGGAAGCTTCAAGCACCGCCTGTTGGTTCGACCATGGCATGCCCCTAGCCCCGCACAAATGCGTGGCGCATCAACTGCCTCAGCATGACTGAAAAGTACATTACTTGCACCGTGGCTAAGGGCCCGGGCGGCATCTCTTCTTGCCGCCGGCAGCCCAGCCTGTGTCTAAATGCTGAAATTGCAAGGGACCCGGAAGCAACTTGTGGGTCTAGGGTGTCAAGCCAGGCGAGGCAGATACATCGGAGGCCCCGCACGCATTACTGACCGACTCTATGAGAGCAAGCTGCCGGCTCGCCGCCCAACCCTAGGCTGCACAAGCAATTCGACTCTGTTCTTCTGTAGGGACCCAAAAAGGCACAGAAGCATGAGCATGTTATAAGGATATCCCGACCTTATTGGGCTTCTTTATAAGGGGGTTTATGTGGGATATCCCTATCCTCATTTTTGCTTTGTGCTTTTTTTGGGCCCTATTCTGGGCTGTTTGGCGTTTACCTATCAGGTCGGTTTTGTGAAACCGTGGGCTTTGTGCTTGTCCTGCAGAGACTTTCCTCTTGTGCTTCCTTGTCACATCAACGTCTAAGCCTAAGCCCTAAACTGTTCAAGACCCGTCTTCAACACGGAGCTAGCACAATCAAATCCCTGCATTTGGAGAGGAAATCGGGTGAGATTGGAGAAATGCCCTGCATCTCAACCTTGGCAAGAGCCCTTCGACTCTGTAGTTTAAGTGTTCGGAAAGCAAGAATCACAAGTTTAAAAAGAGCTCGAGTCGGAGACAGCGTAGGCCCAGCAATTGATTGGAAATACCAGGATCCAATTTCAGACTTGATCGACACAAGCAGCAGCGGCTGACTGACCCAGTTCCGCCGCCAGCCATTGATTGGGGGGCCATGACCTGCATTCAGATGTCAGGGTAGTGAAGAGACCTCAAGTGCAGTCCGAAACCTCTACACGCCCAAACCCGTAAGCCCCTAAGTTATCGTTTGTTGTTTTCTGTATGATTCCGCCTTGGGCCCTGTGCCACAGGCCGCAAGGGATCAAAGATTGTCCCACCTTGATACTCGAGTCGAGAGTCCTTTGTGTCCTTAACTTGTTTTCGCTGTCTTTTTTGATTTCGACCCGAGTTACCGCAGTAGACCAGCACGAACCGAGAGACCTCGTCTGGCGAGCCCGAGTTGCGAGAGCGTAAACCCCAAAGCGTCGAAACTCCTCTCCGCCACCAGAAAAACCCGAAAACCCCCCTACACTCCCGAACCCCCTCAACTCCTCGACTTCCAAGCCCTGCTCTGAGGAGTCTGAGCAGCTCCTCAGAGCGCAGAAGAGTGCCGAGCTTGAGCCCCGGAAGAAGCCTCGGAGGTCTAGAGGTTTAGGGCGTAGGGGTTGCCTATTGCAGAAAGGATCAGAGGGGTTTGCTGTAGGGTCTACGGGGTTTAGGGGGAGAGGGAGTCAGGCTGTGGAAGTTCTCGTGTTTGTTTGGCGCACAATGTTCATGGGCTGCAGTACTGGAGCTCCAAGAGGGCTCTGGGGTTGAGCATTGGGATAAACGCTGGTGTTAGGGTCCGCAAGGCTACGATGTCAAGATGCTTCACGTAGCTGCCGGTAAGAGGAAGAGCCTCTGTAGGGGTTAGCTGAGTTTCGGTTCTTTGGGGTTTGTCGTGGTGAAGATGGCAAGGAGCAGGAAGGGGAGGTTGAGTCCTCCAGCGGTCTTTCCTGCGATTCATGCCGGTCCAACAAGACATCATTCAGTCTTAAGCCCTGATTCACGGAAGAGTGCGGGGAGGTCGCGGAAGGATGTACGTTGGTGGAAGTTTTCTGCTTACGCATGTCGAATCAAGTCGTCGGGGGAGGCAGCGCATGGCATAGCTGCAGAGCCCTGCTTCAAAAAAGAAGGAAACAAGTAGTGCTGCATCGAATAGACAGAGTCTGATCCTGGTGCGGTTGTAACCGTTCTCCCAGGTCCAATGCACTCAAGGCCAAGCCGAGCGGGGCCAGGGCAGAGATGAGGGCAGAGTACAGGGGTGGCTGTACGGGGGAATCATTCTGGGTCGAGATGATTGCGAGTGGCAAGACTTGAGTCCAGTAGGACAAAGGGAATCATTCTTGTGCAAAGTTCAGGCTCTGGGGGGAAGGTGGGGCTGTGAGGCGCAGTAGTGAAGTGTAAGTTAACCATGACCGTCATGGGCCTCACCGGCTGATGGTTCTAGTCATGCTAGGCTTCAAACTTGAAGTACAGCCGCTTGTTCGGCAATCGCTTTCCTCAATCGCTAGCTCCGACGACCGAGCGGAACCACTAAAAGTACTACGTTCACTTGCAGGCCCGCTTGTATCATGAGATTTGCAAAGCCTCATCGGGAGGCAAATGGTCGAGCGGTGAAGCCGTCAAACTTGCAACCTCTGAAAGTCGATTCTGAAATCCCAAAGTCTAGACTCTAGACCCACGACAAAGCTCGTACGCCCTGAATCCGAAAAATTTGAACGACCCAAAAGCCTAAAACCCTGCCACCCGCGTTGGCCCAAGACCGGGAGGGCCACAAAGGTCGCCCGACTTGAGCACCGCCTGAGGTGGAGCTCGTGTACAGTAGGACGGAAGTGGTTCGTAGGGAATGGAAGAATGGTAGTCATAGTAGTTATATGTTATATGGTAGTACTAGTAATAGTAGTAGTAGTAGTAGTAGTAGTAGTAGTAGTAGTAGTAGTAGTAGTAGTAGTAGTAGTAGTAGTAGTAGTAGTAGTAGTAGTAGTAGTTATAATTGTACCCCATTCCTCCATTCCCTACTAACCAAAGGCAAGTAGGACGGAAGCCTAAGGCAGCGGAGAACATGTGCAGAGGAGCGGTTTGGAGCTCTGTGTAGTAATTACTAGGGTTTAGGCTGTGGAGTATAAACACAGCTGTAGCCGTTGCACCACTGGCATCGGGGTTTTGGTATTAGGAACAGGACCACACTACAATGGCGCATACATCCTGATCAGCACAAAGCATTGAAGCCCATAATAACAGCCGGAGACCCCACCCCTGTGCATCCCTATGCTAAACGTCCAGCCTCACTCTTATCGGCGTGGTCGGATGGATGGCTGCGGCCTGATGAAGTCGACTGACGCCCATCGCAAGTCACAAGCCTCATGACATGAAGAAGCAGCCTCAGCCAACTCTGATCGTAGAGCATCGTAGCAGCAGTTCCGTCGGCGCCATGGCCGACAAGACGCCGAGGAGGCTGCCCAGCAGGAAGCCCTCGAACGAGTGGAAGCCTGGTATTTTGGAGGCAACGAACTGGGGGAGGGGACGGGGGGGTCGGGGTTCGGGTTTAGGGTTTAGGGGCTTTGGAAGATTGTGGGTCGTAGACTGGCTAGACTTGAGTCCAGTGGCAAAAAGGGGCTTTCGAAGTGGATGGGGAAACCGGGACCTAGAGGGTTTAGGGGTTGTGGGCTTGAAGCCTGAGTCGTGGCCGCCTCACTTCTTGTATGAGACCATCACCCCAAGGGGCTGGGGAAGGGTCGGCGATAGTCGCAGCCACATGGGTGGTTGTCAAAATTATGGTCCCTGATTGAGTCCCTACTATAATGACGCACCTAATATTTAAGCTTCCCAAATAAGGGACCTTAATTTTGACAACTACCCACGTGAATGACCTGCTCATGCGCACAGTCCAAGTCTCTGTATCCGGGCCTGGGACCATGGAACAGAACCAGTCGAGTCAAACTAGTTTGAGCTTCCGAGCCCCTGAGGCTCGGCTCGGGTTCATCGTGCCGTGTCATACCGTATGCTAAACCCTAAACCCCTAACCCCCAAACTTCCTAAGCCCTAGATCCCTAAACCCCTAAAGCCTAAACTTCCTAAGCTAAACCCGAAGGAAATGCCTTTGATCCATAGACCCCGAGCAGGATGGTCTCGGCGTTATCGGCTTTGACAAAGCCTTTGACGACCATTTCCAGATCAACTCCGACGATTTGCCTTAAAGTTTGGTAGCAACAGAAGTCGTAACAGTAATAGTATGAGTTTGGGGCTTGCGATTGAGTGGCTCGCGTTTGTGTTGTCAGCTCGCGTCGGTTGCCTTTGTCAATCTCCTTTTGGGGTTTTTGCCTTCGGAGCTTGTATCATTGCTCTGGCTGGTGTTGGGCTGAAGACGGTTTATCTTAGTGCTGAGGTTCCCAAGCGACTTCCCGTCCGGCATTTCTATGCTTTTTGCTTTGTGAACTGATTGGTGGCATTACGTCGCTGGTACGGGTGAGTTCATTCGACTCTGTGGAAAACCTCATCCTCGTCCGTTGCTTCCTCACGGCCGTCAGAGTTTTGTGTTCGTTTTGTTCGCATTCACTGTCTGTCTTCCCGTCGCTACTGCTACCATCAGCGGCATCATCTCTCTTCTTCTCACTGCCATCATCACAGTATCACCGCCCTCGCCTACAATCGCTACCCGATTCCACTCCGACATTGCCACTGCCACCAAAACCACCACCACCACCACCACCCCCGC